GATGACAATGTGACACCACGAGTTAGACACCCCTGCTCTAGCACCAGATAAATTGTGGCATGAACTTCTGGGGAGCAACATCTAATAAATGCTGAAAAAAAAGATTTGTTTAATTCAGTATTTCTCAGCCTTGACAACTTGAAGAAGTGAGGACTTCAACTTCCAAAATTCCCCAGCCAAGCAGGGATAATCAGCCTTACTGGTATTAGAAAAATAGCAAATAAGAATTCTCAGAACACTAATAATAACTTTCCAGAGAGAATAAACCTGGAAATCATAAAGGGAATTGTTTTAAGTCCTCTGCATCAGGTGCTATGCAACATGTATACAGCATTTACCTTGAATACTTACAGACTGTATGTACATATGGCTTTGGCAACCATTTAGAAGCAGTCTTGGATCTGCCTGATCTCATGCTGTCAATTGGCTTGAAAAACTGAGGTGAATTATTTCTGGCACTCCCATTTATTAGGAACCTGAGTAAATCTGGTTTTCCCTCTTGTGGAGCCTCGTGACGGGCCATTAACCCTTAGCAGATTCTCTTGCTTCATTCTGTCTCCCTGGCCTTAGCAATATCCTTATTTTTCCTCCTGATTTCTCCCCTAGAGAGCTTCAGCATCTTATTCATTAAGCTTGTCTGTAAACATTGCTTACAATGTATTTCCCTCTTTCCAGGTATCTCACTAATTTGTGGCTATGGTTACAACAGTAAGAAAAGCTCCTGGTTTCAGAAATGCTGGCTTGTTGTCATTCCACCTGGGCAGCTCGTAAGAAGCTTCTACTTGTAACAGAGGAATGACAGCATCCCTACCTGGCGATCACATTTTTTTCTGTTTCTCTCAAGGAATAAGCAGATTGTGATGCCCTTAATATTCTCCAGTGCTGAAGAGAACCAAAATGAGGCAGTTAGGGAATTAGACACAGAGCCTATTTGCTAGCAATTGATTTGAGCAGGGGATTGGACTAGAAGACACTTCCAGCTCTGTTCTGATTAGCGTGGTGGCGCAGTAGTTAGAATGCAGTACTGCTCGCTCACTGCTCACTCCAGGAGTTCGATCCTGACTGGCTCAAGGTTGACTCAGGTTTCTATCCTTCCGAGGTTGGTAAAATGAGGACCCAGATTGCTGGGGCAATATGGTGACTCTGTAAACCACTTAGAGAGGGTTATAAATCACTATAAAGCAGTATATAAGTCTAAGTCTATTGCTATTAGACTTGGCCCCTATGATTCAGAATGGATTGAAGTCTCATTCACCTAGCCCACAAAAGCAGTGTCATCTCTCCATCTCCATGTAAAGAGATGGAAGAGTGCTTGGCTGCAAAGGGAAACATCTGGCATAGACAGTTTTCCCAAGCAACAGCTGGTATGCTGGAAATCAGGACTGAGACTGACAACTATGTTCAGGTTTTTTTCAATATTTAATGTTCCATCTGTTTGTCTAGCATTAGAACAACTTTCCATGGCCAGCCAACTTTATACACCATACACTTAGCTATTAACCATGCTGCATATAGCCCATCTAGTAAAGTTTACTAGGAATCTCAATCTTAGCAGAAAACTGCTTCTTCCTATCAGTTGTAACTACCAAAAATAACTCTATTCTTTTTAAACTCAGGCTCTGTTAATTTACTGCATCAATAAAGCTAGGGCCTTAAGGATGTTTGGTCCCACCCACCCTTGTTGAGGTAATATATAGGGTAATATGTCCCTATTTTAGTTATATAAGTATAAAGATGGTTAGATAACTCTAGAAGACACTATAAGTTACTAATAGTGGAATGTATTTATTTTCAAGTCCCTATCTAATGAATTTCTGATATTAACATTGCTAATAAACTATTATGAACCCTGTGAGAACCACACAAATGTACAAACAACACATCAAAGGGGCTAGCAGTTATTGATGGTTTGTTTCAAGAAAGAGGAATTGGATTTTTGTTCTTCCAGCATCTATGATGTTCATAATGTCATTGGTTGGTACTTATATATTTTAATTATTTTGCATTCTCCTAGAGTATTAGTCTTCGGGATGGTGAGTACTGATTGGCTCATGGTTCCTTGTTTGTTCCCGTGTTTTGAGGTTAATAGAAGTGTGATCTAGCAGAGATCATTTTCAAAACGGCTTATAAGGAACTGCAGAATGGGAATGGTGTGGTAGAGAAGTGCTCTTAAAAGTGGCTTACAGTCATTCCATCTACACTGGGAACAGAAAGTTTGCAAGTACTTTACCATAATTTTCTATACATATATATATTGTTAAGACTTCAAACCACACAAAATTTCCCAGGGGAAAGGGCAGGAGGTGGAATCTGCAATATACATTCATAAAGCTTTTCCTCTTCTCCGTAGTCAACCTGTCAGCTAAGCTGCACTTTCTACTTGTCGCAGCCTGAGAATAGGTCCCTACTGTTTTGGGAAGGCAGCTAGTAAAGTCATTGCAAATAAAAAGATGTATCTTTGGGGGCAGGTTGATGTCTTTATGCTTGGATATGTTGCCCAGGTTTGTCATAATCTTTCCCTGAAGAAGCAGATGTTTGTTTATGTTATTTTACAAGCAAACCCCCTGCGGATTTTTTAGCCGAGGAAGATAGTCTGTTACTACAAACACTATTTATTCCCCTTTTTGAATTGGATTGGCATTAACAGGTCAGTTTTTGCACTCTTATCCTTTACCTTCAACAAAAAAGGAGGTATGAAGAAGAAGAAAAAAAAAGATTTTCTCCTGATGCAATGTTTGTGCTTCTGAACAACTCATTGACTTCTTTATAATTTGTTCTTCAATCAATTTATTTTGAGAATGCACATTTTTATCACTCGTGATAAGGGTGTAATGAGAAACGTTAAATATAGTTGAAATTAGAAGTAGGTTATTTAAGCAACAAAAACTAAAATTTCCATTCAGCAACCTAACTCCTGGGAACTTCATAAACTTGTAGACTCCGTGCAATTGTATGGAGGGCTAATTAAGAAATAGGTGAGCTTAGTAAGAGCCTTCAATAAATAGCTTAGTAAGAGTTTTCAACAAATAATTGCAAATTCAGTAAGATAACTGCATTATAAGAGAAGAAGGGGGGGGCGGTTTAAACCATTTGGCCAAAAATTTTATAATAAGATGGCATAATCTTATTTACTTAGTGCATTGCACTAACGCAGGGGTGTCAAACTCACTTCGTCACGGTGACATATCAGAACTTTTTTCCCCTTCGCTAAACCGGGTGTGGGCCTGGCCAGCGCGTGACACATCTGGCCTGTGGGCCAGGAGTTTGACAGCCCTGTACTAACCCCTAATGTAGTGCCTTTGGCTTTGACATGTGAAACCAATCACTGTAATATGTATTCTGTAACAGTGTTCCACTGAGACTCTTAAAGGAAAATATTTGTAGCTCAGGGTTGAAAGGAGGGAGAGCCTCACTGAGACTCTTACTCTTACAGAATATCTCCCAAAACAACTTCCCTAAGTGTTCCCATCTATCCGGATCCAATTTTGAAGTCGCCAGAAGTACCCATGGAGGATACTAAATGTGTCTGCAAATAAGAAAAAGCACTTAGTTTAGCAACCCATGTAATTTCGGTGTTGTATAGTTAGCGTGACTCCAAATATCTTTGCTTTATTCTTATACTTATTCTTATACTTATAGACAAAAGTATATAAATTTGAAAAATAACTAATTTCCCTCATTATATGTGGGGATTTCATTCTAACCTTCAGTTAATGAAACTTCAGATAGAACCTTGAGTCAATGAGAACTGAGAACTTTCAGAGCTCTGGAAAACACTTGACTGAGTAGGCGTGCTTTCAGACTTGTTATATAAAATAAGACAATGTGGCTAGCCATGGTTCTCTTGGGAAAAAAAAAATCTCCAAAGGCATAACATTCTATTTTCATAGGATATAACTTCTTAGCCAGGACAGAAAATCTAAAACAAAGATAAGAGTCATATATGAACCAGGGATGAAATCCAGCAGGTTCTGGCAGGTTCTAGAGAACCGGTAGCAGAAATTTTGAGCAGTTTGGAGAACTGGCAAATACCACCTCTGGCTGGCCCCAGAATGGGATAGGAATGGGGATTTTGCAATATCCTTCCCCCAGGAGTGGGGAGGGAATAGGGATGGAATGAGGACTTTGTAGTATCCTTCCCCTGGAGTGGGGTGGGAATGGACATTTGCAGTATCCTTCCCCTGCTACGCCCACCAAGCCATGCCCATCAAGCCACACCACACCACGCCCACCAAGCCACGCCCACAGAACTGGTAGTAAAAAAAATTGGATTTTACCACTGGTAAGAACATATCATTAGCCCAACAAGGTAGATCAGACTAAGAATCTAACATTGTAGCAGCTCTAGTAACAGAATTCTGCAAGTGTGATTGTGTTTTCCCCCCTCTCTCTTTATCTTTGTGTGAACACAGGAAGGGCTTGTCTGAGATGTTTTCTCACATTGTTTTCTTGGGCCAGATTCTTATCTGGCTGCTGTCTCTTCCTCCTACCACAGATCAGATATATGTTTAATTATTTCACTGTACAGTATAGAAAAGGGGTATGTGGGGTGCTGGGGACGGGTAGTAGCTCTGATGTTCCACTACAGCAAAATGCTGATTTTAAAGCAATATTTTTTTCTTATCTACTTGAGGAGGAACCACAAGTTCATCTATCTTTTTTTTTTTAATTCAACAGTGTTTCTTGCTTCCACCCCAGCTGTTCATCAAACCGGCTGCCCCTGCACAAGGTGCAACCTCAAGTGCCTTTGGCTAATTTGGGGTTCCAAGTGTCCTGTAGAAGATGCAACAGCAGCCACTTAACAAGCACCAAGATTAGCGTGAGTGAGAATTGGCCACACCACCTTTCCAGTGGGTCACAAAGTCACAAAGCATGTGGGGAGGGAGAAGCGAAAGCAACTCCCAACTTCCCCTCAAAATAAGCCTGCCCAGGTGGCCTGTCTCGTGGGAATCCTCCACCCGTGTTACACGGACGGCCGCTTTGTGGCTGGGAGAAAAAGTCAGGAATAATGGACCTATGCAATCGAGAAGGGGAGATTCAGCTGGTGCAGCCTCCCATCTCCGGCTAGAGAGAGCTGCACCTGTTGGCCTTCTGCACAGAAAACCCATCTGCCGCAGGGGAGAGAAGGCAGAGCCATCAAGCGGGCTCCCCGCACCATCGGAAGGCGCCGATTAACATCTCCAAGAAGTGTAACGTGTAGCCACGTCCGTTCTAGCAGGCGCGCTCCCCGCCCGATCCACCTCCGTTCCTTCTCCGGCGGGCAGGCTCCACCTTCGGTCTCCGATCTTGCACCGGAGCCACTGCGCTCCTTACGCCCATTCTCGCCCGCCCTTTCATAGCGACGGCGCCTCAAAGCACTGGCAGTGCGGGAGAGGCGGCAGCGACAGCAGCGGCGGCAGCAGCTCTCCAGCCGGCTCCCTCCAGTCTCTGTAGCGCGTGAAAACGACGCCTCGGGCAGCAGGTAGGCACAAAACCCAGCCGCGCCGCATCAGCCCCCTCGGGGCTCCCGAGTCCAATGCTTGATCCTGGGCATGGAAGGTAAAAGAAAGAAAAGGCAGAAACCCCCCCCCCCCCCACACACACACACCCCCCACACACCCCCGCGCTCGCCTTTCTTTTCATGGACCCTTCCCCCCCCCCCCCCCCTTTTTTTTCTTTCTTTCTTCCCCTCTTCACCCCCGCCCCCATATAGTGGTCTCTTCCTCGGATGAATTATGTGTAAGGGTGTGTGTGTGTGTGTGTGTGTGTGTGAGAGAGAGAGAGAGAGAGGTTGCATAGAACGTGGGGTAACATCTTAGCATCTCCTAAGCATTATCCTTCTAAAGGGAGGGGAGCCTCTCATTATGGAGGAAAGAAATGGGGGGGGGGTGGAGGGGTTGCCTGGGAAATCAGGAGGCCAGATTGGGATTACCGTTTGATGCACGATTTGTTTTTAATGGGGCTTTGTTCTATGTGGAATTGGGTCTGGGTAAAATGGATTGAATCCCCATGCAGAATCCTGGCAGAGCAGGAGAAAGCAGGGGTCATTCTGTCTCTTTTATCACATCAAACTAGATACTGGGTATGTCTGGTCTTTAGGTCGGATTCATTTATTCGCCCCCAGGCCTAAGGAGTAACCCTTCCCCTGGTGTCCCCTTTGCACTTACATCTATCTTTCTCATTCTTGTCTGCAAGCTGCCTGATAAAATGTCAAAAAGAAAGGATGATAATTATGCATATCAAATGGGGGGGGAGGTGGGTAGGCAGGAAGAAGGGACCAGCCTCCCATATATACCAGTATCTGGGAAGAAAGGTAGACATGGTCCACTAGCGATCATTTCAATTAAACTAAGGAGCCTTTTTTTCAACATTGAAAGCATATATTGTGTCTAACTAATACTTGGCAACTCAAGAACCCCCAAACTACTATCTGTTAACATCAGCACTGGATACCACCTGTTCTTTATCCTTTCTTGCCTGTCTTTTTCTCATGTGGGGTTTGGATTTATAACAAGAGAGAGGTTGGACATTCCCGGGAATGACAGAATATAGAACATATCTGGAGGGAGGAGATAGTTCAGTTCATTTGTAGTACAAGATTACCACATTCAGTCCTGGAGCTAAACCTAATCATCCAACGCATCAATTTTTCAAGCAGATAAGGAGCTGCAGAAGGTGATGTTTCTTACTGAATTAATTCACCAGCATGCTATATTTTTGCAAAAGGGGTGTCTTCTGATTGAAAGGTTGGTCAAGTACAGAATTACATGGTTATAGTTTTTGCAGTGACTTCTTCCTCAACTCTCTCAAAGTTCCTAGGTCAGTTTCTTTTGTGGGTAAGGGTGGGGCAATTCTCCAGCCCTTTCTTTCTGAGTTTTTTGTTTTTGCACATCCAAATGATTAGGAAGTTGTGCTCTGACCTCTGTATTTATGCAGGAATTGAATGTGTTCTGCTTCAATTATTCATTTTGATGCTACGGTAATTTCCGGCAGCTTCTCTTCTCCCAGGATCTGATGTATAACAAGAGGCTTACATTGTTTGTTTTTTGTTTTTGAGGATATCATCCCATTCAGCCATATGGTAACTGTCTTGGTTGTGGTGTTTGTAATGAAAGAAAGAAGGGTAAACAATAGTAAGAAAATAAAGCTGGACCTGGAATTAGTCTCTAGATTCCTCTGTATTTCACTGTGAGACTCTAAAGTTTACTTTTAACATTCAAGGGGAAAACAGAGGCAGGAGTCCTCAGGAATCAGTCATTCAATCATATCCAATTCTTGGAAACTGTCTGGACAAGTCCCTATAGTTTTCTTGCAAGGTTTTTCAGAAGTGGTTTGCAATTATTGCCTGTTTCCTAGAGCTGAAGGAAAAAGCCTGGACCAAGGTCATCCAAGCTGGCTTTGTGCCTAAAGCAGGACTGGAACTCACCTTCCCCAAATTCTAGCTTGACATCAAACTAGTTTTCATCCTTAGCAGACATAACGTCTTATCATATCTTTGTTTAAAAGATCCATAACCTCTCAGATCCGGTTCTTTCCAACTCAGATATTTTCTGGTTTCATGAATCAGAATAACAAATTTATATTTTGGAATTCTGAACATACTTAGCACTCTCATCGGTTACTTCATTCAGTTCTCTGAAATACAATCCATAAAATCTTGATTAGGTCATTTAGACCAGTAATTTGTCACGCTTCCTCATCCAGTATTCTCTCACTCTTTGTCTTTTGTTTCCATATCAGTAGCATCCACTTTCAGTAGACTGAATTAATAGGTAACATAATCAATGGATGCAGATCTACTCAACTTCTATTATTCAACCCATTTAAGGTTTGTGTCTTATCCCTTCTTGGTAAAATGAAATGTTATCTAGTGGAAGGAAAAAATGAAAGATGGGGATCAAAATAGGAAGAGGTGAAGAGCCAGTGCTGTCTCTATCAAGGTGAATAATACTAAAACTGGACAAGTCATCCACAATAGAATATCTGAAAAGCACTTTTCTCTCCTGCTGAACAAACAGCATCTCCATCCTACTAAATTTCAATTTAAACCTGTTCTATCATATCCAGGCCCTCACAGATTTCAACAGCATTACCATTCAGTCTGGTTATCATCAACTTATTGTTGGTACCAAACTCCAAACCACTAATTGATTTTTCCCAGTGACTTCAGGTAAATGTTATATAGGAAGGGAGAAAGATCCCAGCAGGGAATGAGGGAGAAGACCTACAAGAAAATAGCCACTGGGTTGATCTGCTCCCCCAACTGAAACCGCTATTAAGGATGGAGTAGAACCACTACAAAAAAGTGCCCACAATTCTAATCCTGAAAGACAATCCAATAAGATGCCATGATGATGCCAATGATGATAATAATGATGATGATGATAGTGATGAGAATGATGATGATAATAATAATAATACTAGCAGCAACAATTTGGCAAGTATATAATCATTGACCGCAAGCTTCCAAGCCTTTCTCTACTACTTTAAGGGCTGTTTTGTATGTTTATGTGGAAGCTGAGATTCTTAAGGAATATCATAGTCAAGAAGTTTCTTTTAAAACAGAAAAAAAAATCCTCACATCTTTTTCTTTCTTTTATAGATAGATAGATAGATAGATAGATAGATAGATAGATAGAGCTATAGATAGATGTAGATGTAGATGAAGAGGTAGATGAAGATGAAGATGAAGAGGTAGATGTAGATGTAGATGTAGATGTAGATGTAGATGTAGATGTAGATGTAGATGTAGATGTAGATGTAGATGTAGATGTAGATATAGATATTTTGGGAATCAACACTGGACTTCTATATTAAATAGAGAAGGATCTTGTTCCAGTTTTCTCTGAGTGCAATAATCACAGTAAATTTAACATTTACTTTCTGTTGGTGTTCCCATTGTTGTATATCAATTTGCAAAAATATAATAATGTAATCTCTGACTTGTTCAATTTCTGAAACATATTCAATAACATTTAAGCCCTGACAGATGTTTTGAATTGTGTGTTGTGTATTTTAAATTTGGTCAAATCTCTTCATTTTCCACTTTGCATTTGTAATTCCTTTTGAAAGGAAAGGAATATCCTTTTATTATTTATTTGGATATATTGGAACCAATGAGGCATTTCTAAGCATACCAAGAAGAGCAAAAAATTGTTCTTAAAAAAGAGATTAAAGATTAAGTTTTGCAATCTATATGAATTATTATCTCTCCACTGATTTTTTAATACATTCATCTTCATGAAAATAAACAATACTGAAGCAAGAAGCTAAGCATCTTCTTTTGTAATTAGCCCATATTTTAAGAGCATTATGTAGAATTGAGTAATAATTTATAGATTGTACATTTCTGTTTGAATCCAACCATAAACATTTATGAAAGTCTCCTGGGAAACATGCTTCTTAAATACAGCAGATATACCCAATCTTAAACAACTACCTTGATAATCTATTTTGAGATTTGTCTGGGATTTATTTATTTTATTTATTTATTAGTCATATTTTTATGCCGCCCACTATCCGAGGACTCTGGGCGGCTTACACCAAAGACAATATACTAAATAGCATATTGCCCCCAACAATCTGGGTCCTCATTTTACCCACCTCGGAAGGATGGAAGGCTGAGTCAACCTTGAGCCGGTGAGATTTGATCCGCTGATCTGCTGAACTAGCAGTCAGCTAAAGTAGCTGCAGTACTGCACTCTAACCACTGCGCCACCTCAGCTCATATGGGATGGTCCAAGGATTCTTCCCTTGGGCAGACAATTGGATTATAAAATCCCTAAGATCCCTTCCAGTCCTACAATACTATTTTTTCTATGTTATTTTACATTAGTGGCACTTAGCAAGCAGTGCATTGGATAAGGCAGAGCTTAAATCACACCTACCATCTAATTCTTATGCTTCTTCTCCTAAATCAATTTTATAGGTGTTACACTGTTATTTTTAATTCAAGAAACTAAAAATCTGAACTATCCAGTTGCTGTCCAGTTCTTTGTGAACTAAAGTAACACCACAAGTGGTATTTCTTGTATTATTATTCAGTTTGAAGTTAGCAGTGCTAGATATGCTCAGAACTTCCCCAATATTTTTTTTTCTTTTAACAATACCTTCCATCAGGGTGAAGTTGGAGCAACTGAATGGAGCCTGTGCATTTACAGGCCAGATGCCCTTCCTAATGCCTATGTAGAGTTCGAAGCAGACAATTACTCATTGTGGGCAGAAAGAGAAATATCTGTCATTACCTAGGATCAAGCTCACACCCTCCTGATTGTGAGGCGAGAACTTCACCTCTAGGCCACCACACCACTAAAACTTCCCCAATATAATATCTACTAAATTGTAGGAACTACAATGTATATAATTCCCTGCCAGCTTGACTTTTGGAAAATCTCAGAGTCCCAAATGCATGTTTACCTGGAAATAACCATATTAGGGAAGTTTTTTTCTGTATGAACCAAACCTGACTTAACATGGCAAACA